CTAAAAGACTAACAAGGGAACAAACGCGAGTTTTTTTTGAATTTTTTGGGTTCCTGTAGCAAAAGTTGTATAAAAATTAGTAGCAAACAAACTTGCTCAAAAACTTGGGTTCCAAACACCCCCTTGGTATTGTGCAAGTAGTTTCTTTCTTACTGAGTACAATATATATGACTTCACACATAAAAAAACGAATTTAAAAATATGGAATGCCAGTAATATATACAAATATTATATGACTTAAAAATTATGAGGTAAATTATCGTTTAATTTGTATTCATCATATAAAACTTCAAACCTTACAATGGAAAAAAAAAAATAGGGGAGGGTTTGAAAGTGAAACCAATGACCGTACGATTGCTTGATTAATACCCCTACCTATAACTTGGTATTTTGCAAGTATCTTTCTTATCAGGACAATATTTGTTAAAAGTTCCATGTTTTTCATTCTTTTTTTCATGTTAGTTTGCACAAAATAATACTAATACACATAACGCTGTATTTATAGAAATGATGGGCCTGTATAATGCTACTGGGCCTCGGCTATATTTATATACAATGACCAACCATTCTGATTATCCGTCGGCCTAGGTGTTTTTTGGTGCCGAAATCTAGCCTTGATCCAATAAGCAGACTGTTTTTGGGCCTAGGACAGGAGTTTCTCTACCATCAGCCACCAATACACCCGCAAATAAATTGGTCAAAATTAGGCCAGATTCATTCCAACAAATAAATGAACAACATTACGAGACTGTAGAATACAAAGACTGATAAAAACAGGAAGGTTGAAAAATAAGTCAAAGGAATGAATTGATGATTATAGCATTAGAAACACTTTATTGGCTTCTCTATTTGTCTACTTTCTATTTCCATAATAAAAAAAGTGATGACAGCAAAATTACAAGTTGAAAATTTCAGTCGTCATGTAATCGCTTAATCATATCAAACCTACTAACTAGCAAAATATTGTGTCTTATCAATTGTTCAATGGTGATTCATTGAAAAATAACATGTTGGTCAGAGTGATATGTAGTTTTACTTGCGAATGACATAAAAAAAAAATTCATACAAAAGAAACACCTGTAGTTCAACTAAAATCAAAGTGCATCCAAAAGATGCTCTAAAAAATGCTAAACCATAGATAACTTTAACAAAGTTGTATAACCAATAATATTATGTAGATCAACTCACCTCTTAAAAGAAAAAAAATGCGTATATTATATGTGTACGGATGAAGATTGTCCTTGTAAACTCCCGAGAGGTTACTCAAGCAAGAGTCACCAACATAAGAGTGCTTCAATTACATGATGCCCAATTTTCCATTTCTATCATCAGGAAATTATTAGGACCACCTAGTTAGGCTAGATTATTGCATTAGTCTTGTGGGGTGATTCATGCATTTAGAAGTAACTTGTTAATTACGGCCGTATTCCTTCAGTATTGTAAATATAAAATTGTCAACTACATTGGTATTGAGTATGTGTACTTTACTTTTGTACTATATAATCCTCAGCAGATATTAATGTTGTATATATGTACTTCACATTTGCCACCTCCAAGCCTTTCAGAAAGACGCAAAAGTCCTGAACAAAATATGTTAAAAGGACCAAAAACAAATATTGATGGCTCACTTACTATTTTTCAACTTTTTGTTTCACGCATACTTAAATTAATAGATAGACATTTAATCCGTTGTTTTAATCGGTCTTGTTCTCCATATTCCAAGCCACGAACGTCAAGTGGAAAGAACAAGTGAATTGGTATCAACCATTTGTTACAAATATCTGTAACCTTGTTTTATCAGGCGCTTTTCCTTTTTTTTTTTTTTTAATCAAAATTAAGACATGTCTCCCACTATATATTCCCTTACTTTCAACTATTATTTTCACCAAAGCAACAAGAAAATAACAATACCCCTTTAGTCTTCAATTATGATACCAAAAGCTTTATTCTTGTAGTTTTCCAATTATGAAGTGAGAGTGATTGTATTGACAAAGAAAAAGTGTACCATATTTTAAAAATAAAATTACAAAATTTTCACCAGTAAAAGAAAATGTGCCTTCCAAGAGGCGACATTTTTTTGAATTTACCAAAAAAAAAAAGATTACCATCACTTTAAACGAACGGGACTATTCTAATTGTTTTCCCATGGGCTAACATAGTAACTTTAAACATTTAGTTTCTTAATATCTTTTGTTAGTTAGGGAAAAGTTTCACTTCCTAATTGAATTTTTTTTTAAAAAAAAAATAGAATAGTTCTGGCACAATAAATATATGCATATGTACCTTTTTATAGTCCTTGATTTTATTGTTTGGAATAGTTTGGTACAGTGGATATTGAAACCAATATAGGCCTTAATTTACTACAAAACAAGAATACATGAGTCACCATTTCATTCCTTAAAAGCGAACATTTAAGTATTTGAGACTTTGGGGATCCAACTAGAGAGATTACCCTGTAATGGGCTAATTTTCCAGGTCCAAATTCAAAGGTTGTCCGAAATTGATTCTTGTAAACTGTTATTTGCTAAAGAAAGGTGGTCCAAACTCTCTAACCTCCAAATGGAACTCAAGATTTTACCCGAAAATTGATTGTTTGACAGGTCTAACGATTCCAAATCCTTTAATTCTCCCATCTCTGGAGCCAAAGGTCCTCTCAAGAAACTTGATGACAAGTTGATTTCCTAGAGATCTTTAAGAGTCCACAAGCTCATTGAAAGCTATGTGAAGATATTTCAAAGATGTTAGATTATTGAAATATCCTGAAATTGAACCGCTAATCTGATTTTGACTTAGGTATAAATAATCCAAACTCTGCAGACCACAGAGATCATGAGCGAGCGAACCAGTGGCGGAAATATTGATAAGATCCAAATACCAAAGCTTTTGCATACCGCAATCGTAGTTGGAATTGAACCAGTCCAACTATTGTCACCTAGACCTAAAATTACTAAATTGCTCAAGTTTCCAATACTGTCTGGAATGTTCCCTTTGAGCGCACAGTTCCGTACATCTAACAATTGAACAGAAATAAAAAGATTCCTAATGGATTTCGGGAAACCCATTTAACAGATTGTCTTTCATCAAAATACATCTTAAAAATATGCAACCTGTGGGGGAAGTGAAGAGACCCAATTCTAAAGATGAAGATTCACTTGTCAAATTGTTAGCAGATAGATCTATAACTGCGAGGCATCTCAAATTTCCAATGGAATTGGAGATTTGACCACTGAATTTGTTATGACCAAGAGATATTATGGAATTGGGGATTTGACCACCGAATTTGTTATGACCAAGAGATAGTGCAGCTAGTTTCGAACAGTTTGAAATAGAGGCAAGTATTGCTCCACTGAATATTTGATGGAAGAACGCCATATAAATTATTGTAAAAAAGGTTGAATATTCTCAGAGTTGAGATGTTGAAGATCCCAACTGGTATCGAACCTTTAAGCTATTCCATCCTAAGCAAAGGTTCTCCAATTTGAACAAGTTGACAATCTCATTTGAAATCGGACCTGTCAATTCATGAAGAAAACCAATCTTATTTTAATATACTCCAAAAGTTACACCACATTCAGGTCTACAGCTCATTGAAAATTAGCATACCTATCAAATTAGCTAAGATCACGATATATCTTCTTAAGCATAGTTAAATTTCCAATCCCCTTGGTATTTGTCCATTGAATTTATTGATCCCTAGGTAAAGAATTTAAAGCGGGGAATTTTTTGAAAAAGTTTTTTGGTATTTGGCCATCCAAATTGTTTATCTCTAGATGCAAACTTCCAAGTTTAGGAAGCTGGTCGTGTGAACGTTAACATATGCCAATTATTGCTTGGTAACATCGACATGTAATATACTTCCACCAGTTAAAAATTTTATATCTAAGATTGACAATTTTTTTTAAAAAAAAAAAGGATTTTTGGCCACTTGAAGTTCATTTCATGTCTGTTTGCCCCTCCAAGTTAAGATTGACCCAAAAAAAAAAGGGATTTTGGCCACTGGCTATCAGCTATGGTTTACCTTAGCATTAATTTTGATTTACTTTTAGTCCCTTGCTAGTGGTTCAATTAAAAAGATAATAATACCCTTATATTACAATAAACCTCCCTTAGAAGTTGAATTAGTTATAGTTTATTTTGATAAACTATGACCGTCGTTGCACCTTGCTATCCCCTCACCCCTCCAAAAGAAAAATAATATATTATTAAGCAACTTATCATCTCTTTCATGTTTCAGAAAAATATTACCTTTGTTATTCTACTTATTTTTGTTTTTCTTTTTACTCTTCTTTTGGATTTTATTTCTTTTCTCTCTTCTTTTTCTTATTTTTCTTGTATTTTTCCATTTCTCTCTTGCCATTACTAAGCAATTTCTTACTGTTGAAAATTGATTAATCAACCTCTTATTGATCCACATGTGCCTAAATAAATATGATTTCTCGTTAAATGTGCTTTATCATACCAGCAAATTATATCTTATTATTTTATGGAATATTAGCAGTTTTTTTATTCTTTAGTCCATTCTTTTATTTTTGTCATAAATTTTTTATTATTTGTTGTTACTATTAATAGTTAAAATCTCCTATTTATAACATAGGTTATAGTTAGTTTGTTTCTTGTGTTATAATCATTTTCAATGGAAAAGCTAAATTACTCTGGCACAACTACAAAAATAAATTTGTGATTAGTCAATTATTAATCGTTATGTATTTGATTACAAGTGGCAAGAGAGAGCGGGGAAAAGGAAGAAAACTAGTTGGAAAACTAAAAGAGAGAAAATAATTAAAGGAAAAAAAGGGGAGGCAAAAAGAAAAATAGAAGTAATTAAAAGTAAGAGTAATTTTGATGGGAAATATGAAGAGGAAGTAAACTACCTATAAAACTTTACAAAGGGACAAAGTGCAATAAAGTTCGCAGATTGTGGGGTAAATTGCTAGTAACGCCAAAACTTAGCAGGGCAATTTTTGAAAACAAATGTCAAACTATGCAACTAAACCAAAGAATAACAAACCAAAAAAGTAACCTTCCGAATGTTATTGCCAAGATATAGCATTTTCAAATGCCCAACTTGTAACGCCCCCACTTCTCCCTAAGGCGAACCAAAGGGTATCCGCGGGACGCCTGCCCAGCTCTTGCCAGGACTCACTACAATCCATCATTCAAAAGCTCGAAATACTTTAAGTAACTTCAATACATAATTAAAGTACTCCAAATATCTCACACTTACAATTATGCAGCTTCCAAGCTTAAATACAACCCAACGGAAAAGGGTACAATAGCCATCCGTTATAATATAACTTAAAGTTTTCAAAAGAAAACAATCTAGTACTACTCACGAGCACCCTTGGTCTCGAACCCTGTAAAAGAAAACCACAACGTGGGATGAGCTACACAGCCCAGTGAGGTTCCAATACACTCTAACAGTTCAAATAAATCAAGTAAGTTGGGCATATCATATGCATGGTTCAATGTTACACAATGGCGTGTTATCATGAGGTGATAATCATTGTACGAGTAATTTGAGACATTTATCATGGTATGAGACATTTATCATGAGACAGGTATCATGATATAAGTACATTGGTCAGGTAACAGGTATGGAGCATATCACAGGCATAGTTCAGGATTTCATGTTGACATTTTAGCATGAAACAATTATCATGATACAAGGTAAACATATACGGTAGGATACGGTGTTCCAGTGGAACTCTGTCGGTCATCTGCACCTTATGACTTCTGATCCCCACGGTACGGTCTGGCCATCGCCTTATCCCTCCAGTGGTAATACTCGAGTATACCGAAACGGTGGCCCAGGGTTCCAACCTACCCGACCGAGCCCAGTCCTGGCTCGAGTAGGTCAGTAACCAAGGGCAGGGCCCAAGTTCAGCTTAGAGCTTACAACATGCACAGGTAACCAAGTAATTCGACAAAAGGTAAAATTCATCATTTGAGTAGGTCGAGTGAGGTAAAGTACACACTCGCCTAATAATGATGGACAGCTTCATATAACATGTGATTCATGATAATCAAGTAATCAGGTGGTCAAGTAACCAAGTAAGTTGGTGATCACGTAAGCAGATAACCAAGTAAGCAAGTAACCAAATAGATTAGAAAACGGTAAGTAAACACGGTTAACGGTAAACGGTAAACGGTTAACGGTAGTAATTACGGTTAATTGGTAGACATATGTCATTTCAATAGGCCGCCATTGGCCGTTTTTCACTTTCACCACGTAAGAGTCGAGGAGATTTACTCCAACCGACTTATGCTTCCATAGCATAATTAATCATTTAAACACATCATGTAAATATGCTCTACAAACATTTCATATCTAGTATTTCAAGTAATCACATAATTATGCTCTTTAAGCATTTCATATCGAATAGTTCAAGTAGTCATGTAAATATGCTCTTCAAGGGTTTCATATCGAATAGTTCAAATATACATACTTCAGGTGTTTCATGTCGAGTAATTCAAGTATACACTATTCAAATATGCACGAGTGTGGTAAATACTTAACATATAGCACTTAACACCTAATGACCAGGGGTTAAGCATGTCATAGACTTATTCCAATTACGTATTCCTATATGGAACACTCACCTAGTCAAAACAAGCGAGTAGTTCTTAAACAAGCGTCTTAGGTGTCCGCTCCGAGTTCCTCTGGGAGATTCCCTTGAGTGCCTGAGCAAACAATAATCAACTACCACTCAAAATCATTCTAATTATCGAGGAAAATTGTACACTAGTACAATCTAAGAAATTAACGCAGAGACGAGTCTAAGAGTTCGTGTAACTCGAGGTTCAAAAGTGGGTTTTAAAATACAAGACAAATCTGATTTCCATCTTTGAAATCAAATGTAAAACGATCAAATGATATTGAAGGAAAATGGAGGGTTTGAAACCCTTAGTTTCCTTTAAGTTAGAAAATTCCAGATTTAACAAGCAATATTTGAAAAATCATATTTCACTCTCCACAAGTCCAAAATTGGAAAACTTGGTACTGTTGGAATCCTCTTTCAAAGTACTAAAAGTTCTTAGAAGACACTTTTCCACGAATGTAAGTGAAAGGCACTCAAATTTTGGCTCAAAGTTGGTAACTTGAATTACCAAGACAGATTTAAGTTGGTTTTTGGCCAACTTTAGAAATTCGGCAAAAATTCACTTGTTTTGAACTAACCTTTGAAATTTGGAAATCAATTAGTGTTGCAATCCAAGAGTATAACAAAACAAGCGGAACGAGAAACGGAGTTTCGAGCACCAAGATATAGTACCTCCAAGTTGCTGAAAAGTTAAGACTGTTGGGCTATTTTCCAGGTTTAAAACTAGATTTGAAATATCATTTGGTCATCAAGTTGGCATTAGAAATACATCAAACTTGGTACACTAAATCTTCCATGTGTGAACAACATTTCTACTAAGTTTCGTACAAAAACTCTCACGGTAAGGTAGTCATTAAAACAACCAAAGTTTATGAAGAGTTTCAAGGCTAAACTACCTTCTCACTTTTCTTTCGTTTACAAACTTTTTGTACCATGAAATCAGTTTCAAATCTCTCCATTATTGAAACCAAGAGTTCATAAACATCCACTGAGCAATTTAAAGACCATTGACATCCAAATTCTAGAAATAAAACTCTCCAAATCAGATTTGACCATTTGGCTAAGAGAAAACGAAAAGTTTTCCAGATTCGATGAGCGAATTTTGTGACATCATTTGCATATCAAAATGGTCTTAGAATATTACCAAATTTTGTACAATTAAACCTCCATATGATGATTACTCTTCTATCAAATTTCATTTGAAAATTCACACGGGAAGGTAGTTAACTAAACCATCAAAGTTCAGGAAATTTCCCAAGGTAAAACTGTCTTCTAGCTCTTCTTTCCTTTTTAAACATTTTGTCCAAAGCAACCAACCCAAATCTGGTTTATTTGTGAAACAAAGTCCAAGGAACATCTAATTTAAAGTTTGGTAGATGTCGGACATCAAAGTTTCCAAAACAACAAGTCCCAAATCATTGTTAGTTACAAATCTGCCCAAGTGGAAAATTCTATCACTGTAGCAGTTTCAAACTTTGGCCACAACTCACTCCATTCAACTTGGAATTGGGCGTGGTTGATGGCGTTGGAAATCTCTCTTCTAAAGCTGAATTTTCTCAGAAGAAACCATTTTCAAATTCCATTCACAAATAGCTCGTTTTTGAGCATCAAGAAGCAATTTCTGTCCTGTCTCCTGGAGAGCAACGAAACAGGACAGTGATATTCAATCGAATGGTGTGACTCACTCAAGTGGAACCAGAATGTGAAATTGGTACCGATGGAAAGCTAGGAATGTCTAGTTTCCAATGCCGCAAACGGTACTTGATTTCGACATCGGAACAAAGAGTTATGGCCGTTACAAAATGACTGCCTGGGCAATACGGGATTCATTTTCCAGTTTTGCTAACTTTGGAAATCAACTCATTTGACCAACCAAATCATGTTATTTTTCAATGCAATTTTGTACACACTTACAATAATAGATAAACAACATAATCAATTCATTAGAATCTCAAAATCTGGCACGAAAATGGTCGGACAAGGCAGGGGTAAAACGGTCACTTTTGCTCCAAGCACCTCCTTTGATTTTCTACCAACAATACAACATTAATCTACTAATATAAGCACTAAACCACCATTAATTTCATCATCCAACATCAAATCAGCAACAACCCAAGAGTGGGAGTTCATAGAGCCCACACACACAAATCCACCATAAACAAGACCACCCACATGCATGCAAGAGTTTATACGTGTAATAGAGCTTCCGTAAACTAAGATTCAAGGAGTTGATCGTCCATTACCTCTCTTGATGAACTAGGACAGAATTTCGGCCCCTTAGATGGTCAAGAAAACCGTGGATAGCAGCCCTCTTTCTTAGCTTGATGTAATCTCCAAGTAATTAGCTAAGAGTGGTTGAAATTTGAAGTGAAATGGAGAAGATTTGGTGAAGAAATTTGGATGGAATTTGAGTTGTTTTTCTCCTTTGTTAGCCGGCCAAATGAGGGAGCAAGAGAGAGAGTGTAGTCAGATTTCTAAGCTTCCAAGAGAAGACAATAACTTGTGGCCACAAATCACCCATTAGTCAACTCACATTAGGGTGCGTTTGGCGCGATTCGGCTCAATTCCTCTTGCGTTTGTTTCACTAGTGTACTAAACTTCTAATGCATTTATATTCATATAAATATTATTCACTCTTAATTGTCCTCAAATAAGGGTCTAAAGTTCCTCAATTGAAATCGCGCGTGTGAAAACGCGTATCTCCAATTTAAGCGCGATAACGCGAAACTTCCGAGAAATTCTTATAACGATAGTACTAATAACTATCACTTGAGTATTTAAACATTAAAATGCCTAATTTAGGTCCATTGTACATGTCTCCAATATTTCAAACCTATTGTACTCTCAATCGATCAAGATTCCAAAGACGTGTTCACTATTTTTACAAAACGAGCTTCCGAAAATTAATTTTTTAAACAAGTCATTTTAAAAATATAATGAAACTATATTTCCATGTAATTAGGTCTCAAGAGCTTAGAAAATAATATTCGGAATAAAAGACCAAATAAATAATTAAATAAGCTAGAAATAGGAGATTAAATAAGCAAATTTTTGCCAGTCCTCACACAACTTCTTTTGGTATGTATTCATTGAATTGGTTGAATGACAAACACAATACCTCAAGTCCTGAGCATTTTGTCAATCCTGCTACTAATTGACCAATCAGCTGATTTCAAAATGGATAAAGCTCTTTTAGATTTGGAATACTGTGGCATATATCAGTAGGAAAAGTACCAGATAATTGTTTTTCTACTAAATCAATAAATTCCAATGTGGAGGTTTTCAAGATTGTGGGTGGTCTAGAACCATATTGCTACTTTTTATGGACAAGATCCTGATTAAATTGTGATGATTACCCAACTCTTTTAAAAAGGTAGATGCAGAATTTCATTTCAGGGGATTACCTGTTCACCTAAATTTCTTTAACTTGAAATAAACGTTTAAAGGGCCAAAAATCAAGAGATTGTAGCACAAGAAAGATAATTGTGCAATGACCAAATGCAAAAATGAAACAAAATAAAGAATAAAAAACCAAGAAAGTAACCTTTTAAATTGTTATAGCCGATATATAGCTCCTCAAGCATTTTTCAAGTTCCCTACTTGTTTTGGTATGTAACCACTAAACTGGTTGTATGACAAATCTAATGACTCGAGTCTTGAGCAATTTGATAAAGCTGATAGTATTTGGCCAATTAATAGATTTCGAGACAGATCAAGCTCTTTTAGATTAGGAAAATTGTCGCATATGTTAGCAGGAAGATCGCAAACAAAAGAATTATTTCTCAAAAACAGGTATCTAAGTCTATCCAAGATACCCACGATGGTGGAATTTCTCCCGAGTGAATATTTTTGCTTAAAGCCATAAAACTTAGTTGACGCAAATGAGACATCTCTTTTGGCAAATAACCATGAAAACTGTTGTTGCTCATGTCAAGAGAAATACGAAATGAGAGGTTTCCAAGCCTTGCAGGAATCGTATCTGCAAAACCCATGTTAGAAATATTTAAGGCCACTACTCTCTGACGATTAGAGGCACAAGTAACACCAATCTAACCACAAACAGAGGAAGAAATGGACCAATTTTTGGCCAATATTAAGTGAGGATCAGAAACTATATGGTCTCTTAAAGCCACAAGGGCAGATATATCAGTAATGATATTGGCTGTTACCATAGCTACTAGAGGAGTGGCTAATAAAAGTCCCACACGAAAGTAATTGTATGTCCTCTCCACTTCTTTTGACTAAACTTACAAATAGAACCGACATAGGATTAATCTTATATATATTGTCAGTATATACATTATCACCATTAGATATATGACACACGTGCAAAATTTGAATTTGAAATTTAAAATTTGTTCATGTGTCATCCATCCAACCATAATAGTGTATACACCGACAGTGTATATAAAAATTACTCATAGATATATATTTACTCATATATATATATATTAAGTGAGGATCAAAAACTTTGTGGTGTTTTAAAGCCACAAGGGCAGATTTATCAGTAATGACATTAAGTGTTACCATAGCTACTAGAGGAGTGGCTAATAAAAGTCCCACAGGAAAGTAATTCCATGTTCTCTCCTTTTCTTTTGACTAAGCTTACAAATAAAACTGACAATGGGAAAGTGTGTGTATATATATATACACACACACACACTATTATGGGATTGAGATATACTATTTAAACCTCAATTCCGATGCCATATATGTATTTCAAGATCAAATGCCGTCAACTACAATCAGCATTTATGGTTGTTAGATGGATTTTGTCTAACAATGACATATATGGAGGGAAAAATAGACCATTTCCATCATTGGGATGATTATATGGTGGGAACGCGTACTGACGAACCCACGGTGCGAGTGGAAGGAGGATGGGGCCTACGATTGAATTTCCTAGTAAAAGTAGAGAGATTAATTTAATTTGTGGCACTAGCATAGCAGCCTCGCATCAAAGTTTGTAATTTTCCCTACTATGCGAAACATTAGTTCCAAATATACAATTCCTAGATATTTCGATCAAGAAATTTATTTTTTGAGTTATTATCACTTTACTCCCTTAAACTATATCACTACTATCAGTTTATCCCTTGACGTTATCTTTTAGTCACTTTACCCCCATAAGTAATTCAACTCAACATGTTAAGAAATTTTGGACAAAAATACCCTTTTATTTTATAGCATTACTATATTATTTTTATCACTTTATTTGTTTGGATTATAGTGATACAATCACTTTAGCTCCTAATATTATTTTTTAGGCATTTTACCTCTTCATTAATCTAACTAGTATGGTCAAAAAATTTTAAATATATTTACCCTTTTTTATATATAATTAAAAATAAAAAAGTTGGAATGTTTATTCTTCCTTTTTTTCACTTTAAGAGATCGAAAAACATAAAAATAAGAGGGTTTTCTCAAATTTCTTTTTTTCACACTTATTAATATTAAGAAAAGAAAAAGAGATAGGAAAGAAGGAGACAAAAAAATTAGATTTAAAGAAAATAAAGAAAAATCTAACATTATCGTATTACTTTGAGGTTGTTGGGATTAAAATTGAAATTTGGTGATAAACAAAAAAGTGAAATAATGTTAAAATAATAAAAGTATTTAATTCTTTATTATTTGTAATTTTTAAAAAAAGAATTGAGCTCTCTCTCTCCCTCTCCCCCTCCCCCTCCCCCTCTCCATCTTTCTTTTTTTTTTTTCAATATTAATAAGATTGCCAAGAAGAAAGAAATTAATACTTTGATTTTTTTTCTTGATACTAAAAAGGAGAAGAGTCACTCTAAATTTTTTATTATTTTTATTATGCAAAGAGAGGGTATTTTCTTCTAAAGTTTTTCAAATTGCTAAATTGATTTAATGGTAGAATAAATTGTCTAAAAAATAACTCTAGGGGGTAAATTGATAATGAGGTTATGTTTTATGGGGGTAAAGTGATAATAATTTTAAGGGTTAAACATGTCTTTTCACTTTAATTAATAAATTCCGTTAAGTTTGACTGTTAGTCTTGAGGGTAAAGTGACTAAAAGATAATATTAAAGGGAAATTTGATAGTAGGGGGTGAAGTAATAATAACCCTTATTTATAAGAGTAAATATTATATATACTGACAGTGTATATACTATCACCATTGGAATAATGACATGTGTGCAAAAATTCAATTTTAAATTTGAATTTGTATAGTTGTCATTTATCCAATGCTGACAGCTTACACACCGAAAGATTAATCCTATTTTTAATCCATCAATTTTTATCCATGTATTTATGCATTTTTAGTTTAACTACCTAAATACAAATTGTCAAAATAACTATTCATTTCACTTTTATTTTTTACTTTTCAACATAATCAACCTTTAGCATTATAAGGACTAATATAAAAATTATAATCTGAATTTTTTTTTCATTTACTTCAACAATAGAAAGGTTTTTATGAAATTCATTTATCATTTCTTCTTTGCCGTGGGAATTTAGACGTGGGCCTGCCTTCTGACTGAGAATGCTTCCATGATGTGCCGTCAATGTCTTTGTTTGCGTCGCGCGCTCCCACGGTAGGCAGGAACATGAGTACCTTCCTACCTTAGATGACTCCTATCCGTTCTCCATATTTGACATGCCAGTTGAGGTGGAAATTTTGGCAATGATTTGTGAAAATTACATATTTTTATTGATTAGTTGATGTTATATATATATATATATATATAAAGTCAAACAACAATGTAGATTAGTTGATGTTATATGAGTGATAGAAACTTAATATTCAACTTTGATGACGACTTAAACCATATATAAACTTATCTTATTTAACCATTCAAAATACAGTGTGTATCACGTTATTGATGTTATGAACAAACTAATGGTGGAAGAAACTATTCCACCCTTGAGGAGGGAGGAGGGGGGTTTCGAGGTTGGAATTTGAAAGGATGTCAATGCACATAAGAGATAAAACTCTTCTTAAATGCCTCATAAATAAAGTATACCATTTCTAGCATTATTCTACATCCCAAGCGGCTGAGATCAACTAGTTAAAGAGCGATAGATTTGAAGAAACTACAAAATCAGATTAAAAGTAAAACTTTGACAAAAAAAAAAAAAAAAGGTAAATGATCTTGTCTTCGAAGAGTTACAAATATACACATGCCAAAATTTCCTGTGAGATTGTTAAATGTTTGATTTCTAAGTAAATTTTCTTTTACCTGTTTTCCCGTGGTTATTGCCAAACACATTATTGACACATTGAGCTCTTACCATCATTACCGAACAAACTGACAATTAAGTTTGACAAAGTAGATTCGTTTTTCAACTATATGGATTTTTGTTTTGGGTTTAATAGCCGTGCCCGCAAAGCTATTTCAGAAGAATAGTCGAATTCTAAAGCTCTGAATTCATATTTCAGAGTCGTACTTCAATTTTGAAGGCATATATTTTATCCAATTTGCAAAGTACCAAA